GAGGATAGGGAGAGAAAGAATTTGTGAAGAGAAAGAGGGGGTATGGCTGATCATAGAATATATTCGCTCTCGAATCGGAAGCATTGGATTAAATTTCTGTTTTTATCTATTTATTTATCTTTCTTTTATATCTAACTAATTTTCTCTTTATTTAAGATTTTACTTTAGCCTAACACCTATATGGTTAATGAAATCGTTGCTACGTGACAATATACATATATATACATATAATTTATTATAATTGTTTCATATAGACAAAAACAATTTACTCACTACAAAGATGCAACTTCGTTTCAGTGCATTTAAAATTTCGCTTCGACTGGTGAGAACCAAAATGGTTATGAGAAATTCTGTTTGAAAGCAAGACGCATGTGAAAAGTTACTTCCTTTTTACCATTTGTTTGAAAAAAATTGAAAATAAAAAAATAAATAAAGACAAGGTGACGGAGTGGAACAATGGCGGTTGTTGTTGATAGCAGTTTGGTGAAGGATGGTTGAGGCGTCAAAGTAATGGCTAGATCTGAAAAATTTCTTTTCAATAACAACAGTTAAAGTTTTAGGCACAGCATTTCCAAACCTTCTAAGAGTGAGGGATGCGTTAGGAAGGCTGAGAATAGGAATATCAATTTGATGAAAGAGGAAGGAGGGAAAAATTCAAACGATAGTTATAGTAGTAATTGGGAATGTTTTTAATTATTTAAAAAAATACTAAGCCAGAGCTAAATCGCATATATTTAGGTAGAAGTTATCACTACTAGTTTTGTAATCAATAAAAGGGTTTTGTAAATTAATAAATTAAGAGGTGAAGATTTCTTTTTGATATGTTATTTTTTGAAATCATAAGTTTTAATTTAGAAATTAAGGTTGACGAAATCGATTCATAGTGTATTTAAATCTCAAGGTTAAAATTAATTCTAACATAAAACAAGTGGATTTCTTAGATATAACATTAAACTTAGCTCTAAATAATTTCCAACCCTTCTTGAAAAATAACACTAATCCCATTTATATAAATCCTAATTCCAACCACCCAACGCTGGTTATTAAGCATTTCCCATCAGCATATTAAGCATATTATATACATATGCATACATACATACATACATATATATACATATATATATATAAATATATATATATATATATATATATATATATATATATATATATATATATATATATATATATATATATATATATATATATATATATATATATAATATATATATATATATATATATATATATATATATATATATATATATATATATATATATATATATATATATATATATATATATATATACATATATATACATATATACATATATATACATATAAATATATACATATAAATACATATATATATATAAATATAAAAGTGAACATTGAAATCAAAACTCCGAGGTGACTGGCTGTTTCATGCTAGACGGAATCGTCAGGCTACGTGGGTTGGGTTTTTTCTCGACTATTTATATATATGGGTCAGTGTCGCATTGTGGGTAGTCCATTCTGACGGTCATTTTGGCGTTGAAGAAATCAGGAAGATCGTTGATGAAGATCAGAATCAGTGTAGGAGCCAGGATAGAGCCTTGCGGTCGTGTGAAAAGAACTGGAGGAGAACCCGTTTAGGACGACTTTCATTTCATGGTTTGACAAAGGAATGATTTTAAGTCAAATAGTCATCCTGTAATGCCGTAGCCCTGAAGCTTACGAAGAAGGCCAACGTGTCAGACCCTATCAAACGCTTTAGAGATCTCTAAAACTACGGTTCGAGCTTCCCCGTTATTGTCAATGCTTGGTATCTAAATACAGTTATGGCCGTGAGCACGTCATGGTGGACCGGACAAAGCGGAAACCATATTGCTTGTCTGAGAGCAGATCATGGGATGTAAGTTTCTTAACCACTTCGGCGTTGAATAAAGCTTCGAGCACTTTGCCGGAAAGTGGTAGGAGACATAGCACGGTAGCTAGATGGGTCAAAAAGGTTACCAGAATTTTTAATGGCAGAGACAACAGATGAGAACTTCCAACAGGCTGGAAAGCAAGAGTCAGTGAGACAATAGTTATATATTTTGGAGAGGACAGGAGCCAGTTCAGGAGCACATTTCTTCAGGACAACGGCTGGTATGCCGTCCCCGCAACTAGAATTATGGGAGTCTAATTTGGAGACGAAGTCCAAAACCATCGATGGAGTTTTGTTTATGTCACTTAACAGAGCCTCAGTTCTAGGATTTTCTTGGAGTAAATCACGTGTGGATACTCCAGATGAGTCGAGCGTAGAATTTAATGAGAATTTCCGAGAAAAGCTCGAAAAAAAGGTTCTATTGTATTATTTAATTTGCTTTTGTTATAAATAAAACTACACTTATAAAAAAAAAAATTACATCGCTTTACGGTAGTGCGTCTGCACCGAAAGTATGTAAAAGAAGTAAATAGGCCAAAATTTATGCTTACGCCAACGGAAGTACCCCGCAGTGAATTGCTAAAATTATGTCAGTAATGGCGGATGAATGACCGACAAGAAGTCCGATTTTTTCTTGTCGATAAATCCAAAACAGTAGTTTTTTCATAATTTAGTTGTTAATTCGAGTTCAGCATATACATTTACACAGAAATATGCAGAATTTTGAAAATTTTATTAGATATTTAGCGCGGGGCTTGAAAAGCAAATTTACCAGCCATCTTTTCCTCCCGTTAACGACGGTCTTGAGTTCGTTTTGTACACCAGCTACAATTTTGACCTTGTCCAATTTTTGAACTTATACCCTGGAACCAAAAATTAATTGGTAACAATGGAAGAATTCAATTTGGTTTCACAGAAGGCAAATTATTTGGTGATCGTTCCAAGAGAAAAGATTCTACCACAAATATTGGAGAAAGAAAGATTGGGGGAAGTAGGTAGCTTTTTGTTCGCTGGTTTAGTTTTATTTCTTTTTGTTTGCTTTCCATGAGATATGTTTTGAAGAGAGAAAAAAAGACAAAAAAATGACCACCATAATTGTCACTATCTGTCAGTTTTTAATGTGAATACAGACCAGCTAATGCGTGGCTGAGAGTAGAGCATAATGTGGCCTTAGGGTTGCCTACCGGAAATACATAATATCCCGATATTATGCTACTGTTGATAGAGTCATCCTCTCTAAGAGTTATCAAAGAGTCCAGGCCCCTAATGACTAGTCGAAAGCAGCAACCAGCAAACTGCCAACGCGGTACCCTCATAATGAAAAGTCACAGCCACTGGGTAGTCCGATCACCAAAAACTAAAGATAGCTAAATCATTGTGATCCTGGTAGAAGAAAGACAGAGAAGCGGTAAACCACACCCTGATCAGGGAACAACGGATGTTCAATAGATATGGAAGGAGTGCAGACAGGACGATAGGTGAGCCTATCTACAACTATTAATCTGTTAAAAAAAGCACGTGAAATACGAAAGAATTCATATTAAGTTATGACATGGTAGAAGATCTGATGTCTTCTACCAACTAATGAGATCGTAAAAACTAATGCTCTCTTGTCGCATCAATATTTCAGCATTGATAAGCAACACTAAGGTAAACACATTCTAAATTAAACAAGTTGGAGGGAGGGACGAGTAAGAAGTTTGATAATTAATAATACAAAATACACACTACAAAATGAAAATCACAGTCTTAAGCAACAAAAAATAAATAAAAAATAAAATTCAAAGAATGACACATACATTTAAACATCTACAACAACAAGATGGCACAAGGTAAGGTAATTTTACAGGCACTACAAATGCTTACAAATCTTTCAATTTCTTTTTTATGGACACTACTTATCAGTGGTGTTTGGAGAAAAATATGGCTGCTCTCGACTTTCCTTGGCCACTGACTCTGACTCGAGATAGGATGGGTGAGCAAGGGGTGGATGGTGGTGTAAAGAGGCTGGAATCGTTCACTAGCTATTGGTGGTACCAGGGGGAAGGGGATGGGTTTGGTCCACCTCTCGTTTTCTTTTCTATCTTTTACTTGTTTTTGTTCTCTACAGAGGAATTAAGAGTCATTTGCCTGTCACTAAAAATAACAAATCATCCACAAACGAATGTCAAATTTCAAATAATATATATATATATATATATATATATATATATATTTAAAACATGTTTGGTTAAATAACATAGACACATCATGTCCATTAGTTTTTGTTGTGATCATTTCGAGGATTCATTTTTTGGTAGATTTAGAAAATTGAGTAAGAAAAATACCAAAATTTTCTTTAGAATAGTTTTTATTTTCCAAAGTATTTTCAATAATTTAGACATAATATGTCTAAATTATTTAAACAAACCTGTTTGAATGAAAATATGCTGCCTAAATATACGCAATATATATATATATATATATATATATATATATATATATATATATGTGTGTGTGTGTGTGTGTGTGTGTGTGTGTGTGTGTGTGTGTTTTAATTTTAATCCTATAATTCACAGATCAAATTCTTAATGTTGATATTAAATCCATTAAGGAAGGCGCCGTATTCTTTTGCATTTCTTTTATTTTCCCACGTACAGCGCATTCTTTAATGAATTTAACATGAATATTAAGTTGATCTGAGAATTCGAGAGGATTAAAATAAAGAATAGACATAAACAGAAGGAGAAAGAAAGAAAGAAAGAGAGGGAGAGAGAAAGAGAGAGAGAAATACAAACCGAGAGAGAACGAAAGAAAGACAAAGGTAGAGACGTGAAGGAAAAAGAAATACAGAGAGAGAGAGAGAGAGAGAGAGAGAGAGAGAAAACAGAGAAAGAAACACAAAGAGAGAGAAAGAAAGAAAGACAAAGAGAGAAAGAAAGAAAAAGAGAGAGAGAATAAGAAAGACAGTGTGAAAGAGAGACAGGAAGAGAAAGAAAGAGAGTGAGAGAAAGAAAGGAAGTCAGAAAGAGAGAGAAAGAAAGGAAGTCAAAGAAAGAAAAAAGGAAGTCTAAGAGTGTGAGAGAGAGAGAGAGAGAGAAAGAGAGAAAGGAAGTCAAAGAGAGAGAGAAATAAAGACAAAGTGAAATGGAAAGAATGGAAGAGAGAGAGAGAGAATGAAAGAGAATGGAAGAAAAGATAAAGAAAGAAAGAAAGAGAAGGAGAGAGAGAAAGTGAGAAAGAAAGAAGAAACAAGGAGAAAGATAGCAGCGAACAAAAGAAAGACGCACAGAGAGAAGAAAAGATAAAGATAGAGAGAAAGAGTGAGATTAAGAAAGAAAAAATGATAGAGAAAGAAAGAACGATAAAGATTTAGAATGAAAGAAAGAGCGAGAAAGAAAGAGAGTGAGAAAGAAAGATAAAAAGAGAGAAAGAAAGAGAGAGCGAAGGAGAGAGAAAGAGAGACAAAAAGAAAGAGCTAAAGGGATAGAGAGAGACATAGAAAGCAAAAGAGAGCGAGAGAAAAAGAGATATAGAGAGAAAGAGTTAGAGGGGGGTAAAGATAGCGAGAGAGAACGATAAAGAGAGAGTGAGAAAGAAAGATAAAGTAAGAGAAAGAGAGGGAAGGAGAAAGAGATAGAGGGAAAAAGAAACAGCAGGAGATAGAGGTAGAGAGATAGAAATAGAGAAAGAGCGATAGAGAGAAAGTGAGAAATTAAATATAAGCCTCTAGGTTAATCTACTGCCAAGACATCGAGTTCTTATGGCTCAGTCAACAAGAACTGTATTCTTTAATTAGGCTTCCCTGAGGGAAAAAGGACGTGAGCTCGATTCTTCCTCGAGAGCTTTTGCTTTGTTTCCGATCTGCGCACTTTAAATAAAAAAATTAAAATGAAAGAAAATATTCGTTAAAAATTGATAATGGTTTACAATATTTCGCCTAATCAAAAAATGATGTTAATATTGTTTGCATGTTCATGAAATGTCGTATGACGAACAGTCTCTACTTTGTTAAAAATGTCATTTAGCGGAATGCTTGAAGAACTTCCATCTCTACAAAAATGGTAGATCAGCTGTTTCATTTGTTTTGTGCTTTTTTTTAACGAAATTACTTCCTCCACTAATGAACTTTTGGAATGTTCTTTTTATCAGTCTATGAAAGAAAAAAAAATTCCAATTATTTTTCAACTCATGTAAATCGCTCTGTCAAATTTCAACCAATCGTAATCATCCATCAGTTTCAGGCAATGATATTTAACTGCCACACATCATTTGCAATAGAGTCTAATAGAGAAAGTAACAATGAAGAAAAGCAATGCTTCAGAGCCCTCGCATATTCACAGGTAAGAGGGAAAGATGTAGAAATAGAGAGAAGCAATAATAAAAGTAATAAATGTGAAGAGGAGATACAAAGGGAGAGATTGAGGGTAAGGGGAAAGATAGAGAAGGGGGGGAGAAATCACCTTTCGAAATAAATTAGTCCTCCCATCCATTTTGGTTGACATTTTTAACGACTTAATTTCTGTGAGACAAAATCTGTGTTTATGGCCGATTGTAACGGCTGAGCTCAGACATTGATGCGAAGGCAGGTTTTGCCATAGAAATTATTTATGGGCGTTAAAAAATCTGTTTACTTGTACAATACTATTATGATATGCAAATTCATTCTGACAACAAAATATTTAAGGTTGTTTCTGATCTTTATGAACGAAATCTTATTATAATACTATTACTGCTACCGCTACTACTACTACTACTAATAATAATACAAATAATAATACTAATAATACTATACTACTTCTTGAAGGTTCTTGAAAATTACTAAAGCTAAAGTAAGAAATTACAATAGCCAAAGAATAACCAGTAGAGAGTCACGATACGAAAATGTAAAAATGGGAAGAAAACCCAATTGTACGAACATTTCAGAAGACAATTTCAAAGAATTGCAGATGAATCAAAATGACTCTAGTTACGCAGAAGAAATCTAAAAACAGAGAAATTACGTCACGGCTCAGAACACTAATGACCAATGTAAATTATGACTGCGGAAAATAGCGATTGTCGATTGCACAGAGATAAAGAAGTAACTATCACTCATCTGGTAATCAGTATTTTTCTCTCCACAAAAATGATTGGCTGGCGGAGATGATCCCCTGAACACTAAACAAGCGACCACAGAGATCAATGTTATATGCACAAACCCGAATCTGTTCATGAGAACGAATATGAAACTTTGAGATTCAAACAGGTTACCGAGGTTTTAGACAAGAATAGAAAGTATTTGACAATAGATTTCGCTGTTCTAGCACACGACATAGTGAAACTAAAAGAAAGCGAACATCTGTATAAGTATCATGATATTGTCATAGAACTGAAAAAAAGGCAACTTAAAAGTGAAAGTAGTTCTAGTCGTGATAGGAGCCCTGGGAATAGACACAAGGAGCCTAGCAAAGAAACAGGAAGAAGTAGAAATTCAAAGACACCATCTTGTTGATAACACTACAAAAACAGTTAAAATACTGACGAGGATCCTGGCGTATTTGTAGTCAATTGATATATATTTTTTCATGGTGAAATCAAAATAACACCTAGACTTCGTAAACATTAGACGTCATTTTGTAAAACTCACGCTCAGCTACTTATCCCTCACAAGGCATATGTCATTTAAAAAACTTCGGACTTCAAATTTCGCAGATACATCGCTCAGTATTTATATACACTACATAAAACAAAAATACGCTAATTATTGACGAAAAAAAATATTCAAAACTTGTTCTATACTAAAAACAGTTATAGGTGACATCTACATACTAAACAAAATTGAAACGTGACAACATTTACATATTAAAAATGTGACAAGATTTATACTTAAATTGTTCGACTTTTATATTTTGATATTTCTTTTGCCGTTATAAATGTTATTTTTAACTCACTAAATATTACCAAAGATTATATAGTTCTAAATATTAAGTACATTTGAATCATCGTAATATTAAAAATTACCGATTATTTGCATATTAACTTAAAAGTCCACACCCCGTGCGGACTTAAATTAGTAAGTAAATAATCAGTGCGGACATTTAAGCTAGCCCCTGCGGATGGTTAATTGTGTCTCCGACCCAAAACTAAAGAGACTTTTGATTTAGCTTAGAAAACAGTAATGATAATTTTAAAGAAATAAAATTGAATTCCTCAATTCACTCCATGGAACTTCAAAACATCACTTTAACTCTAATTCGCGATATAAGTCCAATTCTGACCAAAAGACTAATTTGGACCAAATTTCCAATTCAGCCCGAAAATTGAGTTCTTCAAATCACAAACTCCGTGGAACTTCAACTGAGTTGAATTCTTGAAATCACAAACTCTACGGAACTTCAAAATCTCATGTTACGAAGCCTCTCATTTAAACACTGATTCTTTAGCATTTTGAAGAAATAAAATTGATTTCACCAATTTTTTGTACGACTTTAAACTCAATATAAATTTTAAAAAAATCAACATCATTTTTCAGTTATTTTAAAATTTGAATTTTTAACTGTCCAGCCCTGATCCGGACACAACTAACAACGATAGATGTTCAATCACCAGATGAAGGGCAGATTTTCAATCCCGGGATCGTTCTGATTCCAAAAAGGTATATATTATGGGGTCATCCCCTTTTTCATATAAGTGGACTCGACCAAAGTGTTACTTGGACTACTGCCGTTAAATACCCAGAGTGAGTCAGAATAGAGAGAGAGAGGAGATTGAGATTAAGACTGAGATTGTGATTGAGTTGGAGGTAGAGTAATAGAGTGAGGTAACCGCTTGTAGAAGTCAGTTACAAGCACGTAGACTCTAAGGAAGTCCCACTTCGAGACTGTATATATATATTATTATTATTGCCACTAACCGCGTTCCTGGATTTACTAACAGTATTACCCTTTGTATTATTGTGTAAATACCATTTTATTTCTTATATTTAATTCTTGCGTTTCTCATTCATTGGAGACCGAATTTCATCTCGGATTCCACAACAGTATAATATGTCTATGTAGTGCAAGTTTGGTCCGAGTTAGACACACGGACCGACAGACAGAATTTGCCGTTTATTTATTTAGACAGAAGATTTATATTGTTGTTGATTATTAAAAAATTAAAGTTGTTGATTATTAAAAAATTAAAATAATTTTCCTAATCGTGAGTGCCACACTTTTCTTAAGATATATACTTTAAGAAATGGCTTTGAAGGCCGACTGCTATGAAACACTGGCTTGCCTTCAGATAATTTGGAATGCATGAATACATATATTTTATAAGAGACAGACCGTATGACCGTATTTCAAGCAGGTTAATCATTGAATAGCCGTTGCTACTGATGATGGCAAAAAAGCTCATTTTAAATGCGTCTAACTCTTGAGCGTTATATTAGTGACACAAGTAGATATTGGCTGTGGCCTGTTATTATAAACTTGCTTTTCTCTCATGCAGATGTGCCTCAAGCCACAAGAATGGAACCTCCTTTAATTGTAAAACTAATGAAGAAAACACAAAGCTATCTAGAAATTGCCTTTGTCTGCAGCACAGAAAATCATAAATATCAACTTTCCTGATGATTGTCAATTGAAATGAATGCTCGTGCAATGCAAATCTAACTGGATTTATAGAAACGTTGAAAGATTATTCTGAAATATGATTATGATACATAGCAATGGTTGTTACAGAAAAGTTGTGAAAATAAGTTTTATCAATTCTGAGATAAGAAGTATTTTTATGTGTACAACTAATTGTGTCTACATGTGTATACGTATTTCTAGTTGCATAGCGTCAGAGACCATTTAAATGTGCAGTGTCAAAGATAGTATAATTGTACCGCGTCAGAGACAGATGAAATGTAGAGAATCAGAGACAGCTTAAAATTGCAGCGACAGAAACAGCGTGAACGTGCAGTGTCAGAAAGAGCTTAAATACACAGCGCCAGAGAGAGAGAGAGAGAGAGAGAGAGAGAGAGAGAGAGAAAATGTGCAGCGTCAGAGAGAGAGAGAGAGAGAGCTAAAATGTGCAGCGTCAGATACAGCAAAAAATATGCAGCGTCAGAAAGCTAAAATGTAGAGCATCAGAGATAGTAAAAAATACACAGTAGAGAGTAGAGAGAGTTTAAGTATACAGCGTCAGAGAGAGCTTAAATGTGCAGCGTCAGAGACAGTTTAAATATAGAGCGCCAGAGACAATTTAAATATACGGTGCTAGACACAATTTAAATTTACGGCGCTAGAGATTGTTTAAATGTACGGCGCTAGACATAGTGTAAATGAACAGCGACAGAGACAAGCTAAATGTAGAGCGCCAGAGACAGTTTAAATGTAGAGCGCTAGAGACAGTTTAAATATATAGCGTCAGTGGCAACGAAAATGTACAGCGTCAATGACAGTTTAAATTTACAACGCTTAAATGTGTCGCGTCAGCGTCAGTTTAAATGTAGAGCGTCATAGACAGTTTAAATGGGCAGCGTCAAAGACAATTTAAATTTTGAGCTTCAGAGAGATTTTAAATGTACAGGACAGAGACTGTTTAAATGTACAGCGACAGAGACTGTTTAAATGTAGAGCGCTAGAGACAGATTAAGTGTACGGGGCCAGAAACAGTTTAAATGTACTGTGCTAGACACGGTGTAAATGTACAGCGACAGAGACAGTTTAAATGTAAAGCGCCAGAAGCAAGCTAAATGTGCAGAATCAGAGACAGATTGAATGTAAAGCGCCAGAGGCAGTTTTAGTGTCCCGAAACAGATACATTTAAATATGCATCGTCAGAAACAATTTCCATGTATAACGTTAGAGACATTTTAAATATACAGTATCAGAGACAGTTTCAATATACATCGACAGTTACCGTTTAACTATATAGCGTTAGATATCTTTTAAATGCGCGGCATCACATTCAGTTTAAATGTGCAGCGTCAGAAACAGTTTAAATGTAGAGCTTCAGTGACAGTTTAAATGCACAATGTTAGAGACAATTTAAATGTGCAGCGTAAGAGACAGCTTGAATGTATAGCGCCGGAAACAGTTTAAATGTATAATGCCAGAGACAGTTTAAATTTGCATCGCCAGAGACAGTTTAAATGTATAATGTCAGAGATAGTTTCACTGTACAGTGACAGGTACAGCTTAAACATGCAGCTTTTAAATGTGCAGCGTCACAATCACTAATGTGCATCGTCAGAGACAGTTTAAATGTAAAGCGTCAATGACAGTTTAAATGCACAATGTTAGAGACAATTTAAATATACCGAGTCAAAATCCGTTTAAATGTAGAACGCCTGAGACAGTTTAAATGTGCAGCGTTAGCAACAGTTTAAATGTAAAGCGCCAAAGCAGTTTAAATGTAGAACGCCACAGACAGTTTAAATGTAAAGCTTCAGAAACAGTTTGAATGTAATGCGTCAGACACAGTTTAAATGTACAGTATCAGCGACAGTTTGAACAACGTCAGAGACTGTTTGAATATACTGCGTCAGAAACAGTTTAAATATGCAGCTTTGGACCGTTTAAATATAGATTTTCATATTTTAAATGAGCAGCGTCGGAGACAGTTTACATATACGGCGTCAACGTTTAAATGTATCAGCTCGAGACTGTTTAAATATACAGCGTCAGAGAAAGTTTAAATGTATAGCGTCAGTGTCAGTTTAAATGTGTAGCGTCATAGATATTTTAAATGTAGAGCATCAGAGTTTAAATGTGCAGCATTAGTTTCAGTTTAAATGTGCAACGTCAGAGACAGTTTAATGTTCTGCATCAGAGTAAGTTTAAGTGTGCAGCCTCAGAGACTGTTCGAATGTGCAGTTTCAGAGACAGTTCAATGTAGTGCATCAATGACAGTTTTAATGTACGGCGTCAGATACTGTTTCAGTGTACAGCATCAAAGACATGGTTGGAAATCTGTCAAAATTCCTCGAATGGAAACTCTGATGTAAATTTATTTAAAATAAAGCAGAAAGTTTTAAATAAAATATACGCAAATTTGGAAATACTGTGAACTATCAAAATATTTTTTGTTACTGATTATTTAAGAATGATCTCGTAATAAAAAAAAACAAAACAAATAAAAACAAAAAACAAAAAAACAAAACAAAAAAACAAAAACAAAAAAAACCGCGAACCGGCAAGTGCATAATTTGCAGGTTTTCGTATTGCCCTAAAAGGAACACGACATTTCATATTAGATATTTTTGAAATAAAAAAAAAATAAAAAATTTCTCTGGCGTATTCAGTGCATTTGCGTTGGTTTCGTTACATCACAGACTAGAATATCAAAATCAGTTTTTTCTTCAACGCACAAAGAATATTGTCTAAAGAATATTGTTTGTGTTATGGGGACCTACCTTCATGGACAAAATAGACTCGTCTTATGACTATATTATGCCTCGCAAGAGGACTGTAGGGAGAAGACAAGTTGACTACGGTTGACTACGTGTACGACTTCTGTTGAACTCTGCTTTGGCAGAAAGGATTTCGGACGAAGCCTTGCCGAAGAGGTAGACAGGCCCTGAACCCGTCTAGGCGGGTTCAAAGGTTATATTTTTGACCGAGCCTACAGGCTCGGATAAACCCACATTAAACCCGGCCTTGTGCCATATACATTCCTCGTGGGGGGATCGTTAAATATTGAAGACGAGTTGACTACGGTTGACTACGGTTGAGACTTCTGTCGGACTCTCTGCTTTGGCAGAGAGGAACCCGGATGAAGCTTTGCCGAAGGGCAAAGTTTCGTCCGGGGAGGTAGACAGGGCCTGAACCCCTCTAGGCGGGTTCAAAGGGTATATTTTTGGCCGAGCCTACGGGCTCGGAGAAACCCACATTAAACTCGGCCTTGTTCCACATACATTCCTCGTGGGGGGATCGTTAAATATTGAAGGCGAGTTGACTACTGTACTTTGCCGTCAGACGGATGTGCAACACTTCTGTATTCGTTCTTTTTGTTAATAACACGTTTTCACTGAATTGCTGAGTTCGAGTTTTATTTCGGACCTCTTCCGGGTTCACAACAGTTTGTTTGAAATTAAAATAGCATTGATTCGTCAGTACCCGCTCGTATCCGATCATCGGGATCGTCATACTCTCTTCTTATTCTCTTTCTCCCCTCTGGTGGCGGTGACGGAGATGACCGCCTACTCTTGAAGATTTGTGAGCAGAAGTCACAGACGAGTGTGGGTTGTGGATGTATTAAAAAGAGATTTTCAAGAGAGAAATAAAATCAATATAATACAAAGAATTATACGAACATTCAGTTTAGTAAAACAAAGTATATTTCGATTATTTACATAGTTCCTACTGTTGTCCTCATCTTTATTGCCATATTCACGATGTTTCGGCCATTGTACACTTCAGCCTTCTTCAGGTGATTGGAATTTTTAAGTGAACCCTTAATTTTGTCCACTGGGGGAGATTGTTCTAGTTCCATGGGCCATGCCTCTTCCGGATGTCTCAGTTGTCTTCAGTTAACTCAACTCTCCAAGTTTTTGTATTGAACTCACAACACTTTGGGTCAAGTCACTGCATCCAACCAACACTTTTATCCACTGGGCCATGTATATGCATTTTTGGGACATATAAACTTAATGTTTCAGTAATCATTTTTTATCAGAGCTCATATTACAATTTTTTTGATATTATTGTTTGCCTCTAGCACTTCGTATTGCTGGTTCGCATACTGTATTCATTTATATACTTGGTCGGCTTAGGAGAATTTTGTGGCCTAGCATATGTGCTGATTCATTAAGTTTTCGTATTTTCCAGTGATGCTCTCTATTATTTCAGCATCCCACGCGGTGATCTCCCTTTTCCCTCCATATCTGGTCAGCTACGACTGATTTTTCTATTTCCCCTCGTATTACGGTTTTATGATGTTCTTGCAGTCTTACATTAAGGGACGGCCTGTTTCTCCTTTATATCTTACCACAGCTGCACGGGGTGGAGTATACATAGTCCTTAGTCATGTTCTTGTCTATGGCGGTGGGTGTCTTACTCGGAAGAGGTGTCTGCGAAGTGTCGAAACACTTTTGAAGGTCGTCCTGATGTTATATGGACTATAGATCTTTCATATTTTCTCCGATAATCCCTTCACATAGGGTAGGCAGACCGAATCTGTTTCCTGAGTGTTGTTATCCTTTTGTATCCATTGATCCCAGTTTTTCGGAGCTGCCGCTGGATCATGTGAAATCAATAGGATGATCAATATAGTTCACAATGGAGAGAGAAAACGATAACAAACTCGCTTTCCTGGGTGTACTAATATCTCGAACAGAGCATGGGTTCAAAGCCTATATTCACCGGACAATACATCAACTCCAACTTCCACCAAGCATACAGTGTAAAGAAAGGGATCATCTACTGCTTACAACATCAAGCACGAGTCATAAGTGGCGACATATGATCAAGAAAGGGCCAGCACCTTACAACGTAACAACTACCATAGGTACGTGGCGTAGCTGAGCACATATGGAAGACAAATAGAGATCACTGCTTCCTGTGGGATGAGTTTGCAATAATAAACAGAGAACATCACTGGAAAATACAAAAACTTAAGGAATCAGCACATATGCTAGGCCAAAACAATCACCTGAGCCAATCAAGCATAGAAATGAATACAATATGGGAACCAGTAATATGGAGTGCTAGAGAAAAAAACAATAATAACAATAAAATCGCAATATTAGCACAGATAAAAGAAAATTACTGAGACATTAAGTTTATAAGTCCCCCAAAATTCATACACTGATGTCCTCAAGGTTGCCAAGTGGATAAAAATGATAAAAAGAGTTGTGAATTCAATACCTGGAGTGTTGAGTTAAAGTAAGAGGCATGGGATGTGGAACTAGAACAATCTGCTCCATCATTTGGAACACAGTGCGTTTAGTTTGTCTAATTCATTCATTTTTGTGTGTTAACAATAAGTTTATCGCCTGTTTTTACTCTCGGCTCCTTTTGTCTTTGTTTTGTGTCCATATAAAAATCGAATGTTACCTGAAACATTTGTTTGAATTATTTTTTCGTAGGTTTTTTTACTGAATAAAAATTCTATATTATTATTCATGTACTGTCAATAATACAATGAACATACTTTTACATTTTAAATTAATTTGAATGAAATTATAATCGATTGCATTCAAACTTTCAGACATTTTCTCAATTAAATATTCATGCTTTTCATAATCGAAATAGGCTCCGCAGGTGATGGATGTAGTGTTAGTTTTCGAGTAAATTAAACGGGGGGAATGTTCGATTTTTCTTGAAAGTTGTTTGGACTGGACTGCCTCATCAGCTCAAAGTATATTGATTCAATAATGATTAAAGAAATATTCAAAAACAGCTAATTGTTAAAATGCGTCGACCATTTCATAACATTATTTCGATTCATTTTTAGTTAACCAATATTGCTGCAATATATACGAGTAAATAATAATTTAGTATTTTAAAATTAATAAAGATCAATTTTATGTAGATAAACCAAACAAGAAAAAACATAGGTGGGTGGGGGTTATACGAATTTAATTCTTATTGGAAATTACTTGGTTATTTCAATTTCCTCATGTTTAATATTTTGAGACCAGATCAGACAAATAAACAATGAACAGACGAAATAATTTATTAATAATGAACAATTTATCTCAGCATCATGAAAAAGAATATTTTATTACGATTTCTCAAGCATTATATTTTCATTTACTGTGAAATATTTGATTGTTTTTATTATGGTGGTTATAATTGTCGTTGTTCAATATTAAGTACAGAATCGAGATATTTTCAGTACTTTCTTATCCCTATTAAGAAAATTCATCCTATTTTTTCTTAGCCATCACAATCATAAATTATAAACACGTGCATTCATATATAAAAATATATTCTGAATTTCTGGTATGATGAGATATTATTTACACGCGGACTATTTGCTAGTTTTTTTTCCACAATATTTCGACCGTTGTACACTCCGGCTTTCATCAGATGACTATGTCCAGGGTATATTGTAGAGTTCTTATTTAGCACTGCTCAGTTATTGTTCGCACCGGGGATTGAACTTGCAATTACTGGGCACGACGGCCGAAACAAAAACAACAAAGATGGGTATAATAGCGCGTGTGTAAATAATGTACGCACATATTTTTATATACATATGTAGCTAACCTAAAAAAAACGATTGGTCGGAAAATACATTTTCATCCATTCATTTTCCTCACCGCGAGCTTTTATCTCAGTTAGGTGCGAATTTTAGCTTACAACTACTTCCGCACCCTACACCATCGATGGCCGTCGTAAACATATAAATGGCGCAGAAATTTTCAGTTCGGGAGGGAGAAATCCGCTGGTTATTTAACCTCATGGCGGCGGATGGAAGGAAAGCAGTCACTCATCCTTTTTTTCCACTCCTTCAACGATCGAGGCCAGGGAACAAACTCACTGATTCACGACATCGCCATAGTAACAAGGCCATCCCTGGGAACATCCCATATTAGCGACACAAACGTAATTAAGAAAAAGACATTTCGAACTCATCACCAAGTGCACAACTGTGAAAACTACTTTTATTTATATACTCGAACACTAATACTGTACAGAACCGAATCACACACATTTAGTACATACACGTCCTCTATAGGGAAACTATTGTTTTGTTTAAGTTTCATCACGTGATCTCTTGCGAATACGGATTCTTTTTCTTTTCCTATATCCAAACAGTTGCAAACAGCCTGGTGTACTAATGACCATTCACTTATACTTCATCACAAAATACCGCTAATGACAGTACGATAATGTACGATAATTGTGCATTCCATTGCCGTGAACGCAATCATAATTCGATGTTTACATTTTATCAGCTGAGCATGAATACAAATAGATTTCGTTGATATGGAGTTATTCTTCGAATTGGCAATTTATTATGAAGTTATGCCAGTAATATATAAGGTAGAAATGGTTGTATTACTTTTATTATCAGTTTATTTGATAATGTACTGTACTGGTTATCGTACCAAGGCCGAAGTTAGCCGACCAACAAACATCACTCAGAATTTAAAGTTTCTTTTTTTAGAATTGTAGTATAAGACAACCCTCAATTTTTAAGGGTGATTTTTTAGATTTAAAGGTCGTCTTATATGCGGAAATATGCGGTGTTTCTTTCCAGTTAGCAATGCATCTTAGCCGTATTTTGTTAATTCTTGAATCTAATTCCACCACAACAACCCGTCATAGCCTTAGTTGAAATGGATGTTACAAATTTGCGAATGTATATTCCCCGTTCTTCAGCCAGCAGGTTGCACACCGAGATAATTTAACCTTCTATAAGAAACTTACGTTTAGTGCATAGAGTTTTCCCTTGCACCGCCCTCCATGATGAATAGATTTCCTTGGAAAGAAAATAACACCTGTTAAATTTTCAATTTTTCTCACTTCATCAGGGTGCAAAACTTTAACAAATTTAAAATTTCATATATTCGTCGTTTTTTCTCTGTTCACAATTCTTGCCAATTGTAGCTCTTGTTCATATAATTTTGTTGGAGATCGAGTCGGGGTACTGATCCATCCCAGAGCAATCGGTGTTACCCCACTTCTCCCAGTGGGTCATTTAATTCTCATATAGGAGCGAGCTTGTCTCGATACTTGAAATCCCATGATGATGGTTACTGTTACGGATCTACTTCCTGATAATTCAATCCAGGTTGTTGACGCATGCATCTCCTGTGGGTGTAACTGCCTTACTTTTTAGTTTTAACCTGAACATACTGATTTCTAACCATGACCACAACAAAATCAAATAAAAGAATCAAACCCAACGCTACAAAATCAAAAGTAGACCACAGATTTACCAACCATTACACCAATGTGAGGGGTCTTTCCAAATATGACGTCAAACCTAACCTTATTTTTTGTCTGAAACTCACCACCTAATAATAAAACATGGCCGTTGAAATCGCCACAGTCGCCCACAATGTGCATGCGTGTGTATGTATGTATGTGAGAGAGAGAGAGAGAGAGAGAGAGAGAGAGAGAGAGAGAGAGAGGGGTTCTCGGTTGACTAAAAAGTGACTGAAATATTTATGTTTGCCCATTTTGCCAGAGTTTTAGGAGTAGGCGAACCAAGAACATTTCCTTACATTGTATTTTGAATAGACTTATTACACGCGTTTGTGAAATAGGATAGCTATCGTTGTCAATAAACATTTGATAATTTAGACAATTCTGATGTAAATCTAGGTGAAAAAGCCCCTTGAGGAAAAGTTGAGAAAATTGTACAGTATAGAAATTGAAGTTAATAGGAACAAGAATGGGGGCAAAAAACGTTGCATTTCAGGAAGAAATGAAAGAGTTGTTTGATATCTTTAGCTATTACTGTCAGCCTGTCTCCTGTTAGGATGTGAAATGCAAAGAAGTGTGACAGATATTACCTGGCCTGTAATTGTGATATAAAAGTTCCCAAACATGACGTACAGTTCCTCCTTGACCAGCGAGATGATAGGAAGATGAAAATTTTAGGGATTGACATAAAAGTGACGATGATGTGGGACAGAGTGACGTCAAGAGAGAAATATGATCCGGACAGATCCATTAGACAGCTTGATCAGACATAGAGATCTGATAGCTAGATATACTTCTTATGTTGAGGATAATTCGGATGATTCAAATGATATCTGATGCTGATTTTCCCCGATTCAAAAGCTCTGAGAGATACCAGCTCACAGAACAAGACAAGACTCCCCACACTGGCTACCGCTTGTAACCGATACATGAATAGTGATTATGCTGGAGCTGCCATTGCTACTGCAACCTTAACTGACTATGGCCTTATCACAAAGGATGAAAAGAGTTAAGTTATTGGACCACATAAGCTCCGAGATGCGAGTCACAAATACTGATTGAAGAGGTAAGAAATTCAGATGGTTAGTTTTGAAAATACGTCACTTTATTTTGATAGTAAGAAGTCAGCCACTCGTGTGATGATAAAGACCAATAAATGGAATTCGAAGATCATTATGTCATCATGGTTGACAATGATTATCTCACACATCTGACTCCCAAGACAGGACATGGAAAGTAGATTGCCAAAACTATTCACGAGTTTCTGGTGGAGAAAAATTTAACCCAGAAGCCCATTGTATGTATTAGTAGTGATGGAACAAATGTAAATGTAAGATCGGAAAATGGAGCCATTCACCATCTTGAAATGTTACTGGGTCACAGCTCCATTATTTCATCTGTCAGTTTCATGGAAAAGAAATACCTTTCTGCGGTGTTTTCTATCATTATGATAGCAAACCAAGTGATCCTGGGCATTGGCATGGTCCCTTTGGAAAGAAGATCAAGGAGCTTTTGAACTGCCAGTTGCCAGTCAGTTTCACTGATTTCCATATTCTGAATGAAGAAGTGGAGAAAGATCTGTCCTGGGACCAGAAATTATTACAAGTGTTGTTGACAACATCAAGACCCAGCCACGAGCTGAAAAGAATCGTTGTTACAATTATACATTTCAGCGTTCCAATGAGGTTCTACATCAAGATGCACCGTTGCGTAACACTCGGCTCAAGGAACGTATTCCAATCTATGTTATATATGAAAAACCTGAATTGAAGAAGACGACAATGAAGAAGACTCTCTAGAGAAATGCATACTTTTCCCACACAGATCAACATTTGATATGTGTGCAGGTGAGGACGTGACTGTTAGAGAAAAAGCTGTCTCAATAATAAAATTAATTAGAGAGGATAATCAGCAAATGGAAGAATGTACTAACAGATCTGATGAGGAGAAAGAAGATTCTGCTGCTGCTGCTGCTGCTGCTGCTGACGAGGATTTGTTAAACTACACTGATGATGAGGAGGACAGTGAAGATGGAGATAGGAATGAGGATGTGCCTTTTGTAGTCAACACAAAGAATTGGTGACTTCCAAACTAAAGTGGCAATCAAAAACCTATTATTTCATGATTAAATGAATGAAGACTGAGCCTCTTACATTGCTTTTCTATGAGATCTAGAGTTTAATGATATTCTTGAGATATCATTAGCAGTGCCCAAGTGGCCACACATTACTCGGCCGAAAGAGGGATAAAAGTGATGACCGAAGCTTGCAATGAAGTAACGGGATACAAAGCGAGAGATGGATATATCAGGCAAATTCTAGGAAAAATTGATGCCCAGGTTATAAAAAACAAGTAGTTTTTGTTTACCTATCTCACTGTTTTTCTTCCTATACTGAACGCATCTGCAGCATCCCTAACAACCCTATTTTTGGTATTTATTCGTATTATTATTATTATTAAGGTTGATGATGGCTTCTGTCATTATTTCTACTGGTATTTATGATTGACAAAAATGCACAGCATTGTCTGAAATTCTTTTTTCATTCTCTCCATTTTCATGCAAACACACACATATATAAAACACAGATATGATTACTCAACGAAAGTATTCATAAATACTGAAATTAATTAATTAATCGCATTCCCATATAAATTTTTAAAGAAGATACCAAATCCCAAACTTCTGTTCATAATCTGCCCTGGTTGATCGATTCGGAAGAAAAAAAATGGTGGAAAATGATTAAGTGGAGAAAAAGAAAAATCACACACACAAAAAAAGAAATGAATAACCAGACTGTCGATGCCATTAACGGCTTGAAGCAAAGAAACAACTTGTATTTTGGTATTAATTTTTGTTTCTTTTGAGAAAGTGGTTTCCGTGTGGTCTTTTATCATAACCATTGCCATTTCAAGCAGAAAGGCACCTGCTCTTTTGTTCTTTCCTTTGAACATTTTTTTTTCATTTGATTCTTAACCATTACATCTGCCACTTCCGGTCATTTATGCAGATGCTTACTTTGGTAGAATTTTTCCTTTGGAGACTTCTTTTCCCTCCACTTGGACACTCGTGGACAGAGAAAGTTTAGAATTAATGAAACATTCCCAGCCTACTAATCTTATATATAAAGTAAAGTGTATGTGTGAGTGTTTTTGCGCGTGTGTCCCCAAGAAACTCATCCGCTCCGACTGGTCCGATTTCAATGATTCATAGTTCATTCAAAAGCGCTAAAAATTTAAGCGATGGGGACGATTTTCATTGAGCTCAGATTCAGGGTTGCCAGATTATGCAAGATTAAAGTATATATTAAATATTATACTAGCCATTATCGTTACTTTCATGTTCAAGGCAAGTAACTCTTATTTTCCTTTTGTATCCAAAATTGCAGTGCAAATTTCATTATAAATTAGCTTAAAAGCCGCACTATTGGGCGGCATTTAAGCTAGCTCCTGTGGAGGACTCTTGGTTTGGCCATCATCACAATATCTATGGAGGAGTAGATGCGATAGGCATCAATAAACTACAGAAGAACTCAAAATTGATCGCTGCATTTAAGTACTGGATTAATGTTTAAGCTTACATTTTAAAAGTACAACGATAATTCTTCTGATGCCACTTAACTTAAAGACGATTTGATGTACGTATATCCTTATTTTCGGTAGCCTTATTTTTATTTCATGGGTGACAGAATAGGGGAAAATTTATAAGATGAAATTAATATAGTGTAAAGATGGGGAAAGTAACATTAGAATTAGTTATACATTCAACATTTGAAGAATTAGAGAAACATAATAGCTAATTGAGTAAAGCCTATAGAAACTATGAATACATGCGAAATTGGAGCTCAATTCTTGCACGAATTCTGAGATTAAAAAGTCCCAGCTCTACTTTATAGTATTGGTATTTACTCGATCCCACACGAAGTCGTGTTGTGACACAAGGTCGGTTTAATCTGGGGAGCCCGAGCATACACACAGGCTTGGAACAAAAATTGCCCGCAGCCCCCGCAACTGTCGGTTGCGCTGGCCTCGGTATGAGCACCGATCCCTCTTTCTGGTGCAATGAGAGGGCGCGGTATAATTTTCCTCAGTTGCAACTCTGTCCATTGACGGAGCCGTACCTGAGTGTACTCTTCCTAAAGACAGAGACGCAACTGAGAGATGATAAGTAATGTGTTACAAACCACTCGAGAGAGCGGAGATTTATTTGAGCCCCACTCCGATTGTGACACAAGGTCAGATTTTAAAGGGGGGACTCGAGTGTGTTCACTCGGGCCTCTGGTCTTAGCTGGTCATAACTTAACCAAGCTGGTCTTTGCTGGTCCAAGCCGGTTCAAGCTAGTCATAGCTGTGATACTACCAGCGCAGGGACGGATCCCTGCATCCGGTAAGTATCAATGTGTACAAACTACTCGGGAGTAGTTTTACACACTACGTATTTACTCTGTCTTCTCGCTAAGATGAGTTGTGACACAAGGTCAACTTTTAAGGTAGGCACCCAAGCGTGTACACCCGGGCTAGGAACAAAAATTGCGCCCTCCCATTGCACCAGAGAGAGGGATCGGTTGCTTACACGAACTAATTGAAGAAAAATCGTATGTTTTTACAGGGCAAATATTTTTCAACAGATTTATCATTAGTGAAGTTTACATATCAAATTCTTTTCATAATTATGCGTATATATATATATATATATATATATATATATATATATATATATATATATATATATATGTAAATGGATAAAATATACAGAATGTATATAAATTTTGAAAAAAAAACACAAATTTTAAGAATTTTTATGTTTTAGACGTTAAAATGATAAAGAATTGTCGACGTCAAAAACGTTTCATTTTAATAAACCATTTTCTGTGACAAAATTCATTAAAATACAAATTCAGTTCCTGTATGACAGGTTCGATTCCTGTCGGAGGACGCACCTAAAATATATATATATATATATATATATATATATATATGCATGCACATTGTTTTCGCAATTAAATTCTTATTCAACAAACGGTATTGGTAAAATCTTTAGGATATAAATATCGTCCGGTTCATAATCCTCCCTGTTCAGGATTGGTTTTCCGGTTCCTTCTAAAATCTTCTCATTCTCATTTCGCACCCAGTAACCCTTGCGCCATTATCGCCCTGCTTGGGGGAATTGATTATAAAAAGAAAAAAGTAAATTTAAGCTTCTGGTATGTGTATTTATTAGAAATACTTACAGGAACCAATTTGATGATGTGATATTTTATCATGAAACTCGAAAATTATTTTATTATTATTTTTATTATTAGTTTTTTAAAATTTTTTATTTATTTATTTTATTTTTATTTACAGTAAAGCTCACCCCTGTACAAGGCCCGGGGGTCACTCGATGTAGAGCGTGATAAAAAAAATGGTGATTTCATAGACACCATAATAAAAGATCACAGACAGCATGACATTTGATTTCTAGAAGAGATTCATACTTGGAATCACTAAAAACAGATGAAAAGGATAACATAACCAAGAAGGTAGGTGAATGCACTGAAATCAGTATCTAAAAACAACCACCTCCTCAGATAAGGATCGTGATGCTGTTACTATGGATTCTAGTGTTTACAATGAAAATAATAGATTCTTTAAGCGATACTAGTGTATATGAAAAAATTGAAGAACGAAAAATCATCATAAGGAGATATGGAAATTTAACGATCAACAACTTATAAAAATCGAAGGCAAACTATAGCCACGACTGATAGAATATCACCCTAACATATCTAAACTCTATGGTTTATGAAAAACATAAACCCCACATTTAAGTGCGAACTCTTATCTCTGTTATAGACAGCGTCCGTCACAAATTAGCAAGAGTCCGAGCAAAAATACTAATATCTCTTATCAGCTTTTCACACTTTCAAAATTCTGGCAATCTTGTTAAAAAAATGAAAAATAAATACGAAAACGAAATTCATAGCGAGCTTAGATATAAAATACGTATATACAAACATACCAGTAGACTAATGTTTAATTTCTTTTAAGGATCTACCTCACAAAATCAAAAATAAACCTCACTACCGCCCAACAAAGCCATAAAAAGTTTAACTAATATGTATGCGTAATATTTAACAGACTCCTCTTGCAGTTCAGTAAAATTACGTTGGATCCTCAGTGGGTGCTCCTAACCTGGGAAAAATATGTTAATTGAAAACGTAAATACATTCATATTTTCGAATATACCATTTTATCTGAGGGTATGCATGTTTTTTATTTTCTATCCTAATTTTGTATTCTAATGAACATCCTGCTTATATATATAATATGTGTGTGTGTGTGTGTGTTTATAAAACGAATAACAGCAAAGCATGAACAGTTGGCTTCAGTAACCGAATTTCAAAAGTGCTTTCAACATGTGAAAAAGTTGACGTTCTTCTCCAGAAATAATCGACAAGTTTTAAGACTCAGACAATTACTTCCGATCAAATATTTCTTTCTGACAATAAAATATTATTTTCAGAATTTTTTTCTTATAGAATATTAAAATTTTCTTCATTATAGAAATGCTTTACTATCAATCAAGAGAAAGAAGTGTGAACAGCAAAAAACATTGGGAAAATTATTCTATCTTTTCGGAAAGACTCAAAATTTCTTTTTTTCTGATTGTTCTTTGCTTGCATCCTCCACATATTCACAAATACATGCTATATACGATTAGGTTTGAGTGAGAATATTTAAATGTCAACCAAAATGAACATCTGCGTGTGTAAACAATTATATATTCATAGAAATATCTATCTCTTGTATATATATATATATATATATATATATATATATATATATATATATATATATATATATATATATATATATATATATATATATATATATATATATATATATATATATACACACACACACACACACACATATATTCATCCACTTGCGTGCATACACGTGTTAAGTAGTTCCTTTTCTGTCAAGTATTGTTGTGAGTACTGCTGCATTGCCAAAATATTTCATTTATCGATATAAGCCTAAAGGTTTCTTATGAATGGACGACACAATCGTTCCATTATATAACAATGAACCCAGGTGAAAATCAGACAGACTTTTTCACTCATTTCCTGTTGTTTACCGAGAAGAGAAAGAAGAAGTGGTTAAACGTAATGCAAATATATTCATTATGTATGAAAAGTTTTTTCTGTTTATATGAATTACTGCATTAGTGTTATTTAATCATTGGAAGTTTTTTATGCGTCTCGAAGGATTTTTCTGCGCTTTCAAAGCCTTGTTCAGGTCATTGGTAATATGCTCAATAAAATCAGTCACATATGTTTTAGTTCAGTTTTGAAATAGGATAGAAACCGAAAGAAGTTAGAAAAACAGTCTCGCCTGAAATTACGTTTTTACGCTATAGCTGATTTCATATTCGTAAAACTCGCAATATTTTACTTATTGAGACATTTTATTAGCCATTTGAGTAATTGCATCAAGTTCAAGTTAGATATCAGCGGTCAACAATATCAGAAATCTTTTTATTCTACCTTTACTCTAGTGTCAATCTGTTAGACTATACTAATTGTTTTATAGCTCAATAGAATGTCAATGCCACATGGTCTGCTATTTGCAAGCGGTCACCCGTATAGGTACTAATCAAGCTCGATGTCGATTAACTTAGGTGATCGTACGGGAACAGGTGTTTCAACGTGATGTGGCCGTAAGCCTCGTGATCATTAGTGTTTTGTAAACTATTACGGTGTTACTCTCTAGTGATATTAAATAATACAATTTTAATGGCAAACTTACAGACACAACCGAATAAATATTTGCATTCAGAATTGAATCAAGTGCATTAAGTCGAAGCAGTTTCTATATAAGTATATATTACCCTTGGCAAACGAAGCTAATTCAATGAATCGCTAAGGAGTCATGGCAAAGGGCAAGACATTTGTAACTTTTAAAAAATGAAAACCTGCTAAAATAAATATTTTATTGTTAGCGCCTACGAAATTAAACCTTTTGACTCGTATGCAAATATAGTGATGTGGGCGCACTTCTAGCTACTTCTGTTTTAATCAAACTGCTTGGGTGTCAAATATTGCTTCATTTTGGCAAAATTATCAACACAGGATCATACAGAGACGAACGTTGATCGTTCTGTGAGTGAGACTTGAATTTAAGGAAACACTATACTTGATGAAATGAAAGCAATATGCGTCACAGTAAGTGCTTTTATTTGAGTAAATAGTGTCATTCTATTCATGACACTTAATATTGAACAAGTAATCATAGTTTGAAATATTGCAGAACTCAATCAAGACAAGTTTTCTTTATATAGAATAATCCCCGGTTATTTCATTTATTTTTTAAAATCGTAAAGTCGACGCCCAATTTAACATTTGATCCACCCATTCAATATTTATTGAATATTTCTTGTCATTTCCTGGTGTTGGTTGACAACACATGAATGGTCCCCAGTTTTAACATTCACTTACAAAATGGCATCTGTTATAGAATATCAGAATATTAAAGAGTATTTACACATTTTGAATGAAATATTGCCATTTTCTCTCTTGTGGTATCTTTTCTTCCAATGCCAATTGCAACTCGTATTGATTTGTGTTAGTCTTCATCATTAATGGAATTAAACTGACTCTCTCCCTAAAACAGACACGTTCGACGAGCGTTATTTTTACTTGTTTAAGAAGTAAATGAATAGCACAGTGATGACGTCATATGTTCGAATGATTTTTCTTTCAACAATTTTTAGCAGAGATAAAATGGAAACAGATAATAAAAAAGACAAAGCTGTGTAAATGGAAGAATAAAGGTAAAAGCTTTTTGCAAGATAAATGCTTGTCTCAACATGTCTCTGCAGTCATTCAAATATAGCATGTAGAATTGTAGGATGTTATGTTCTTGTAAAGTGCTTAAAATCGGATGGCCTGAAGTGCTCCAATCAATAACTTTAACTCGAAGTTTATTGATAAAATTTCCAGTCCTTAGGAGTTGTGGTTTTAAATGGTACAGTTGAAGTTAGTTTAAAGTTAAGTAATCTTTTCATATAATATTATTAACGTTCCATTTTAAATATTATTTTAACATTTTTAATATTAGCTCTATATATAAAAATATCTGTTTCTTAAATCTTATATATGTAATCGGTACCCCCCACCATGCAAGCAAATCCACTAAGATACAAGTGGTTACAGGATGTGGAAGAATTAGGAACAGAAACATGACAAATGAGCGGGAAGAGGAAAGAGAAATCAGGAAAACAGTAGATAGCGATTGACATTTTCAGATTAAAGTTGACTGGAAAGCATGCAGCCGGAGGGGAGTTAGACAAGTGAGAAGTGTGAGAAAATCTGTTAGTATAGAATTTACGGTTACATCTTGCCAACTCAACTGTAAATTGATTAGATCTCGATGCTTAAATTGAAAAACTCTAGCTACCACTGCAAAGATCTCATTCAAACAATTACCATGAAAGTATTTACAGACAAGACAAAGAGAAGTAACCTTACAGCGAGGGGAAATTGACTAAAATCAATCCGATAGAAGAGGACTAATATATATATATATATATATGTATGTGTGTGTGTGTGCAATAACTGTAAAATACTATATGTGTTACCACTTTTAACAAGTGGCAACTATACCTATAATTAAGATGAATGGGAGAGTTGGGTAGGTAGCAAAGAGAGAGGAGGAGAAGGAGAGGAAATAAGACGGGAGCTAAAGAATTAATGAAGGAAGAGAGAAAATGAATGTCAGTTTGTCTTTTAAGAGAGTTATATTGAGAATTCTGTTTGATCATTTCTGTTGACACATTTTGCGACGAGGAGCTTGTTTATTTATAGGGCATATTTAGGATAATGGAATTCGAAAAATCCTGAGAGACAGAAATATAATATCTCTTTATTTCTGTCTTAAGAGAGAAAAGGAAGCAAAAGGAGAGAGCATGAAATAATGGGAGAAAAGTGATGACAACGACAGATGAAATAGTGGAAAAAGGTTCATTGCATCAACCTTCATCATAACGAACCTTAACACATGATGGAGCAAAGATATGATATATAAGCGAAAAAAGTCGTTTATTAAGTAACTTTATCATGTTATAAAATTAGATATGTCTACATTAAAATGTGTTTTGAACTCATTTTAAAAATTCGAGAACCCAAATTTTTTGGTTAGCTATTTTAATTTTGCGTTAACCTGATGAAGAATTATAAATTCGGATAATGTATTGAGCTGACAAGTCTCTGGTGTAAAGAAAAGAGGAAATTTAAGTACAGAATAGGAATGGAGGGAGAGAAAAGACCATGCATGAAATGTGATTGAATAACAACGATAACGTAATTCTAGAAAGGAAAAAAAGAGCAGATAACAAAAAGGAGAGAGAAAAGTGAAGAGCCGGTAAGAAAGAAAACCAATTATCTAAGAAGAAATTGAAAGACATTCTTCTTAAGCACATGCATATATGAATGGATATACTTATTGGCATGCATTAGGATTTGTTTGCCGCAAGAACAAATGTGACTCAGGGTCGGTTTAATGTAGGACTCCACACTAGATTGTGTGCATGTGACAAGAAGTAAGAAGTAGATAGAATAAAAAAAAAGTCAAAGAAGGGATGGATTTGGAAATGTATTAAGAAGAAACATATTTTTCTTTCGATTTCCCTTCCATTCATTTTGTTGACTATTAGAATGCCAACATTGGACTTTGTAATGATGCATCATTTTCATTGGTCATCCATCAATAGTTTTCTGCTTTAAGTGGAGTTTGGCACAACGTCTTTCGCAGAAGAAAAAGTAAAACATGGACCCAGTTGGTGTCAATAATATAAAAGCAGAATTTCAAGTTTGTGCTGGACATAAGAATCAAGAAGAGGCGAGATAAGATGATATGAAGCGAGAAGAGACAGATGGTGACGTTTTAATGGCAGAGGAAACAGTACAAAGACAAACACATGTGACATCATTTCCTCTCCTGTCAAGTCCAGTAAGAGATGATTGTTTCATGCTTGCCTACATCACTAACAGAATAGTATCTTTTCACATTTCAGTTCTGTTTTCATATCAATTCAAGAGAAATTGATAGTTATATATGTACATTCGCAGGAAGATTCTACTAAATAAGCTGAAAACATTAGACTTGTCCAGAAAATAAAATGAAATAAAAATTTATTAGATTACATTCGTGTTTTCTTTTGAAAATTGACAGTTAATTTCTATGTAGGAGAATTGTTTATGTGGTTGTCAAAGTCGGTGTGGCGTTGTGATTCCATTATGTAATGTTGTTTTGGTCACAGTTCCTCATCAGCCATAAATATGTTGTTGGCTTTTTGATTTATTACCTGTTTGAAATTACAAATGTTAAAAAACATTCAAATATGTCGATTTTTATGATATCATAATTGAGAATGAAATGATTGAAAAAATGGTTATTGCTCATTATAATGACATTTATGAATTATGATTTTGTTTATATGCTACAGGTCAGTGAAAAATTCTGAGGTTGTTAAATTTCAAGTTTCATTATCCTACAGTATTCTCTCTTAAATAAATAACAGCTTTCTTGTTAGGACACAACCACATATAATTTGTCCGGTGAAATGGGTAAGTTGGGTGTTTCTAAATATTTTATTCAATTTAAGAAAGAATTACAATATGAAACTATTAAAAATTTCACTTAATGCATGCAAACAAAAAAGAATCATCAACTAAAACTAATTCATAAAAAATTATAAAAGAAAATAAAAGTCAAAGTAACAATAATGTATCTTTTATTTAACCTGAAACCATCCAGAATTCATTTTATTGTGACTAAATTATTTAAACGGACTTTATGAAATTAAAATATAACATTTAGTATTTTTCTTATCAGATATTTGCTTACGCATTCAACTAATTTGATCCAAGGTGGAAGCTGGTTGGAATAAAGAAATAAATTAGACACTGGTTTAGAGAAATGACCAAAGATTTATTTTCATTTAAAAGATATGAAAATGTCTCTGGTAATTTGTATAGCGTAGCATTCAAATGTACAGTGTACGAGGTGTGAATCGAGAGCATGAAAAAGGAGTATGCTTAATCCAGCTGATTGCTTGTTGGCTATTGGTTTAAGTTTGTCGCATTGATAGTGGAGTCCGTTCTCTTTCGGTGTTCACAGGAGATTATTTTCAGAGCCTAATGGTTTGACAGGCAGTTAGGCATGCTCTAGGATAGCCTCTATGGTTAGCGCGCGTGCTCTCTCTCCGCTGTCTGGTTTCTCTTATAGCCTATATAAGGGAAACACACAGACGTAGGTATAGACATCTGTGATAAGCGAGAGTCGCATTGATAATGGCCAGCACTCTGGTATATTTGTGTTTGTTTTAAAATTTGTTTTGAGTAGAATGCAGCGTGTGTCTAACTTAGCTAGACGAAAATTGGTGTATAGTTAGAGATATATGTTTCTAATAATTGTATAAATTTGGCTTTAATTTGTTATATATAACTATATGTAAATTGTATCTTCTGGTATAATTTCTGAATAAGCATTGATCACGTCTCTTTGTTGAGTGAATATAAATCCTGATTAACATGCAAGTCAAGTTTTCCAAGGGAAAAATAATTAACTTAATAATTAGGCAGCGGGAATTAATTGCAGGATTTACATTCAGGCACCAAGTTATTTCTCGGTCAGTAAATCATTTCGTTGTTTGAAAAATGTAAAAGAAGGAGGTATTCATTTAGGTGTCGCTTGACACCCATTTTTGAGGAGAACAATTATAAAAGAAAACAGAATTCTGAAACAGAATCAGTTCAATAAAAAATTCTACTACAGTTTTAAATTAAAGTTGAAATCTTTAAATATTCTAAGAAAAAGAGAACACGTTTCTGACCTTTATAGCGCCCAAGATACGGCGCCAGACACAAAGACGCATACATTGTATTTAGACCGAGTAAAAAAAAACAATTAAAATAGACAGCAACAGTATAAATAAAGACTGTCATGATATTTCGAACTTTGGGCCATTTGTTTTAACTGATAGGAAATTATAAGTTTATAAAATCTAAATCTTAAGATTCTACTATTTGCATAACGGATAGCAAATTAATTGATATACTTTATTGTAGAAAGGTTTTGCAACCATTTTTTATTTGTAGAATTCTTACTAAATAAAGTTTCGAAAAAAAACCCCCAAAAAATCAATTTCTGGAATTGATGAGTGAAGTTTTAGTTTCAATCTTGTATATCTGTCAAGTTTTAAATTAGTGTTTCCCAAACTTTTTTTCAACCAGCGTCCTCTTTGGACACAAAAGTTTTTGTCAATGACCCCTATCAAATTAAATTTCAAATATTATACTGAATTCACCTTTCATAGCAAGATAACACTTAGGTATTAGTGCAAAAACAATTTTAAGATTGTTTCCATTTCTATTATAAATGCCAACAAAGCAATGGCTGACTTTGTTGCTTACTGGTTAAGTCATTATGCCATTCTGATTTCAACCAAAGGCTATTAGATGTTGCAAACAAAAGAATTCATCTTTACCAGCTGTAAAGACTGACTGAAATAAAATGTACGATTTGGCATTGATGGAACTGATGACTAATTCTACAGTTCAGTTAACTGTAAATAAATTTATTCAAAAAGAGCAGCATCAAATGTAATATTTCAATTAAAAATCAGTGTAAACGATTTTTGCCGATAACTAATTAATCTATACTTTTACACAATTCAAAAATTTATGTTAGACACATGGTCACCTCTGTATCATATTGTGTTATTTTCTTTGATATTAACAAAACATGAGCCAGATATATTTTTTATACTAAGAAGCTATGTATGCATATTCTTTCTTATTCTGTAATTATAAAAGTAAAATTTAATTTTCATTTTTCGACAAGAGAATTTGGATGTATATTGCTAGGTACCACCATGGACTTTCTAAAAAAACAAAACAAAACAAAAAAACACAAAAAAAAAACGACCGAATTTTGAATAATTTAAATGTCTTTGAACTTATATTTCGGTTTTATCTGAAAAGGATAATGGCCTACAGTTAATCCAAATTGAATTCAAAATCAATTTCCATATATAAATAAATTGTAAACCGCCATTGTATACGAAACATGCAAAAAAAAAAAAAAAAATTTAAATGTCTTTAAAATTCAATATTTCTCCTAGAGATGTGTTTCGAAGTCTATTAATAAATTTAAGGATTAATTAACTGGATTTTCTAAAAGTAAAGAATGAAAATAGCGTTTATTTAACCTCAAAATAAAAACTATGTAATTCTACCCTTGTCCTAAAAATCGCGTGAAAAAGTAAACCTAAGGAAATACGGAAGATCAGCAGTGCAATAATCGAGAATGTATTATTTTTTAAATAAATAAATTTTCTTTAACCAATATTTTAAGAATATAATTTTTTTTCTATACGCTTTTATTAAACTTGAATAAATACATGTGAACGCATTAATGCACCACCAAAACAAAACTAGAGCGTAAATGTAACTTGAGTTAGATTAATGTGAAAAGAAAAAAAACATTTGTACTAAGGGTAAATTGTAGAAAAATTACACTATAAAGTATTCTTTTATACGAATGACAATTTCATCGTAATTCTGAAAATTTTCTAGGTAAGGAGGGGAAAAAATTATGCAGGAAAAAAGGCAATTTTTAAAAAATATAAGTTAAAAGCAAATTATGTTTAGTTACTATTAGTATTAGTTCTTCTGTATACAAGAATATGTAAATAAACCCTGGAAAAGCGAGAGATGCGAAAAAACAAAAAGCAAACGCCCATACCATTAAATCGGAAAACAATGCTTTCAAGACATAAAAACTGACCGAATGGGAGATACAAAATTGGATTAATTTACTATCATAATAGTCTATCGATATGGAATAGTAGTTAGTCAAAGCAGGATATCAAAATCATACCGTTTTTGTATATCCATACCAAACATAATCTAACAGTAGCTAAAAGGAAAAAAATTAAAAAACATTCGCTCGAAAATGGCATTAAACTTTAATTTTTTTTAAATCTTCAAGAATATCTTTATTTAATAAAACAAACTCTTGTGACGAAGAATTTCAAAATCGAAAAGAAAAAATTATAAATATTTTTTAAAATAAATATTGTGTAGATTTTTTTCTGTCCAATCTGAATGAGAGCTTGTTTTATTAAATTATACAAGCATCGATTCTCGAAAATTTATTTTTATAGTTTTAATGAATAAAATTTTATAATTTTATTGAATTATTTTTGGTACGAATATATTTTATAGTTTTATTGAATTATTTTTGGTATAATTTTCGTGGGGGTCGACAATCTTTTTACATTTATATAAAAAAAAATTCACAATATATTATTATGAATTTTTCTTTATATAAATGTAAAAAGATTGACGACCCCCGCCAAATTAGGAAGTACAATTAGTAAATGGGATACTGCTATAAATG